AACCGTAACTCTTACTATCCATTACTTTTACCTTTCTTGCTGGAACTGCTAGGGGTGGAATTCCAATGTCTCCCATCCTTGCTCTCTAGCAGGAGTCTCCAAACTGGCTGAGGAATTCTGGGAAGTCCACAAGTCTTTAAGTTGCCAAGTCTAGAGAACCCTGCTCTATAGGCATAGGAATATTTTTTTCCCCAAAAGATGTAACAAGATAGGCAGGTAGAAATGATCAATGTCTACTTTCAAAGGTTTGCTTGAGGTTTGCTTGTAGCAAATCTTAAGCCGTATTTATGGGTAAGCCACCAGAAAGCAACACATCAGAAAATGGTACTCGTAAGTATATAGCTGATAGAGCAAATAGCTTAAGAATGGACAGCTATCCATTCTTTTATGGAAAAGTTCCATAATTGACTCGAGCAACTATTACTAAGAAGGTTCTCCCAATTTTGCCATTTCCTGTATATTAATAGTTCTATGGAGACATTAACTCATCAAGCAAACCTCTTTTTGCAGAAAAAGCCGGTCTTTAAGAAATTCTGTAATATAGAAAGCTTTTTGTTTCAAATTCAGACAAATATGGAAAAATGTAACTACCTTTTCCCCATTTTTGGGAGAGAGAGGAAGGGGGGAAGAGAGAGATCTAACTGCTAAGGATATGGTGGCTGACTACCTAAATCTGTAATCAAGTATTTTTAAAATATTCTATATTGAATAATAAGAATGTTGATTTTTTTTCAAGTCAGTTCAAACTTTATTACAGGTCAATGACTCAGACGTTCTTTTTAAAAACCGTTTGTGATACAAAGTACAAAGTGGCATAATAAAAGGCATGATATGAATGCTGTAGCCGCGCATTGCCTACTTAGTTGTCAACAATGCACAAATTCTACAGGCCACAAATGTAACCTTTGCAATCTCGAAGAGTTATCTCGGGCTCTTTATCTTCCAAAAGAGGATATAATCCTTCTATCCAACCTGGAAATGAGCTAAGAAGAGGTGATAGTAACTCACTTGCAGGTGTCTGGGTGATAGTACAGCAGAATATGACTCCGTGATTCAACGCACCCATCTTTGCAGGGATAAAGACTTTTGTCATAGGTGAATTTCTGGTATGTATTCTGCAAAACTGCTTAATGGTAAGATCTTCAATCTCAATAGTGTAAAGGACTTCCGAAGTTTGTTATCTGTAATTGGGACCAGATATGGTTTACATTGAATTTGTTTCTTCAGAAATGGTGTGGGTGTTAGCAATTTCTTATGGTAGCAACAACCTCCTAGTCCCCAATAAATATCTTGTTGCACGGTGACCAAGACAGGGTAGCTTGCAACTTGTTTTTTTTTTTTTAACTGGTTTTTATACTGTGCTAGTTGTGCCTGCTTGTTGTGTCGACAAGCAAACCATCAAGCGCTGTTTTAGAAAAAAATTACCTGCTAGAATTCTGCGTAACTCTTTGTAATTAAAACTAAAGGTTACAGAATCGGTAACAAAAAAGACAATTCTGTTTGCTTACTGACCCTCTTCCTCTCAGTTCTGTTTGAATAAGTGGACTCCCACCAAGAGAATGGGGAAAGGTCTTTCAAAATGAGTAGCTGATTCCTTCTCCAAGCTGGTTTCAGAGCACAATGCAATGCCAATAATAAAATGTATTTAAGGGTGCAAAAATTGCATTATGAGAGTTGGATATTTAACCCATTGTTTTACTCCAGATTATTTTCTGGGCATGTGACTTGCAGCTTTTGAGAGGCACTTTTGCAGCTTTTATTCGTTTTTTCATTTTCTAAACTACTGTTCTTAAGTAAAGAAACTACTTAAAGCTTAGTATATAGTTTAGTGGAACCGGCAAAATCTTTGCTGCTTTCCCTTCTCTGCTGGAAATGATTTCTTTTTCTTCCATTCAATCTTGTCTGATTTTCGAAGAATTGCTTAGAGAAGTCTCTGCAGTTTTCATGGTAAGGTTTTTAGAAGTAGCTTGCCACTGCCTCCTTCCTAAATCTGAGTGAAATTAACTGGCCTGAGGTCACCCAGCTTGCTTTGTGCCTAAAGTGGAACTAGAAGTCACGGTCTCCTGGTTTTTAGCTTGACACAGTGGTTCTCAACCTTTTCTTCACCACGGGCATCCTTTAAATTCCTTTTGTGGGCACAAATCATGGCCATGGACCCCCAAGACTTAACTCAAGATTTAAATCGTAATATTTCTTCAAGCCTTCCTGGACCCCCTGCGACAATATCACGCCCACTCCGGGTCTGTGGGCCACAGGTTGAGAACCTCCACACTGCACCAGACTAGCTCTTCTTATATAGATGAGGTAAAAGAGGACTGCTTCAGAAATATACTCCCCCCCACATATCTTAAGAATCAAACCTGTAAAATACCACCATCTCAGGTAATGGAAACGTTACTCTGATTGTGAAACTTACAGTCAGAAGCTCTCTATTGGTCTACACACTTCAATATGTTTCTCATTACACAGATGAAATAGATACATGCAGTTGCGTAGCCCTGCCTTCCTTAACTGCACTTTTTGAGGTTAAAAGATTGGGCAAAAATATACTCTGTGGGTGATGGCAGCGCAATGCAAAAGCTTATGCAATAACCAAAAGTAAAATCAAAACCAGTTTTCTTGGAATACTGTTACAAAGACATGGCTATTATGCTGCCAAACTACACTCTTTCTATCCTTAGACGTCTCTGACATAGTCATTCCTTTTAAAAAATATTCAGATTAGTTTCTTTTTTAGAGGAGAAAAGCTCTTCCTGAACTCCTTGCTCAAAATTCTGAATTTTTGCTCACCCCCTTTTTTAGAAGGATTCTGCCCAGTTAGGTAGCAAAACCTAGCCAACTCTGTGATTTAAAAAAAAAAAACCCCACCGTAACCATAATTAGATCTTGTAAACACTAGGATGGAAGACTGCTAGTTAATATCATGACTGTAGAATAGACTGGAAAGATAAAATACATAACCATGAAAATGGCAATGGGCATTTGGTGCATTTTTGCCAAGAAAAGTAATAGCCATGTCATGAAATTACTAGGAGTTGCATTTGACTTTAAGGAAGCATCACTTCCACACAACTTTAGAAGTTAGAATATCAGATAATATTGACAAGAACAGCCTAAATGCTGTATCAGTACTGAGCATTAGCAAAGTGAGAAGCTGAGAAAAGAAATGTTGATGGTTTTGGGTTTTTCTTAAGGAATCTTATTATTTTAAAACTAGAAGGCAATGCAAGTGAGTTGGTTCCTAAAAACTGTGAAATAAAATGTTGACTTCTCAGTATGTATTGCATGCCATTGATGGCCAGACAGACACTGATGGACAGCCACATTGCATTTTCCCCCCGAATTAAGTCTACAGGCACATTTAGTTGCAAATTATCTACTATTAGAGATCTGAATGGCAAGTTATTGTGAGATCCATCAGTATGAATTTTAACCACAGATTTTGAAGCTTAGTTAAATAATGGTTCCATAAGTAGCTATATATTTGATGTATATTTGATGTATTTGGTGTTAATACAGTTACAGGTAGTCCTCGACTTACAACAGTTTGCTTAGTGACTGAAGTTACAATAACACTGAAAAAAGTGACTTATGACCATTTTTCACACTTATGACCGTTGCAGCATCCCCATGGTCATGTGATTTACATCTGGATGGTTGAGAACTGACTCACATTTATGACGGTTGCAGTGATCCCCATTTGCAACCTTCTGACAAGCAAAGTCAATGGGGAAGTCAGCTTCACTTAACAACCATCTTACTCATTTAACAACTGCAATGATTCACTTAACAAAGGTGGCAAGGTATGTCATAAAATGGGCAAAACTCACTTAACACATTTCTCACTTAGCAACAGAAATTTTGGACTCAATTGTGGATGTAGGAACTACCTGTGTATCCCATCTCTTTATACAACTGAAGACAATGTACATCCTGCTCCAGCGTCCTATTTTCACCACATCAGCAATCATGTGAAATGGGTTGGGCTGACAGAGACCGACTGGTTCAAAGTCACCCTATCTTTCATTCCTAAGGGAAGTCTAGAACTCAGTCTCCCAGTTCCTAGCCCAGGCATTAATTTTAGTATTGTAAGGTATGACTTAAACTTTTCAGGTATTTTTTTCTCTTATAAATGTTGCTGGTTGCCATCAAGTAGAGTATAAATTGAATAAATAAATAAACTCCTCTGCCAGCCCCAGGCAATAGAGACAGGATAGAGATTAGCAGTGGGTGCAGCAAATTTCACGCTGGTATAGTTTTCTGCTGACTCAAGGGTGGTTGGAGACCACTTCAACTCAGCCGTGGAGGAAATGTCAGTGATTGCCCCCAGCTGTTGCCATAATTCTTTCTCTCAGAACTTGGTGTGTTGTGGGAAATCAAGGACCCGGAGTAGAGAAGCTCCTTTCCTCCAAATGCAAGTAACATTAGTACTGAAGATCAGTTTGCACAACAGCAAAGAATTTGCTTCTCTCTATATATATTGTATTTTTCACTCCATAAGATGTACCTGACCCTAAGACGCACCTAGGTTTAGAAGAGGAAAACAAGAAACAAAATCAGGCAGAGCCTGAGAGGACCACAGATAGGTGTCCTTTCATGTGCCAGCTCTACCTATTGACTCCTGCACTGCAGAAAAGAGACAGAAGAGGCGGGCAATGACAAAAACAAAAGAGGAGGGGTTCAGCACTGTAAAAGGACCTCGCGTCCCGGCTGCTATTCACCAAAGGACCGGCACCGTTCACCTTTTTTGGGGGGGGGGAAGTGTGTCTAATGGAGCGAAAAATACAGTATATGTCTAAACATTTTTTCTTCCATAACTTTGTATTTATCAAGGTTAGGTATGGCCAAATATAATATTTCTTGTATTGTTCGGCCTTAGACTGCTCATCACCTCTCCTTGCTAACTTTAGCTGTCACTAAAAGGTCCCACTGTATATTGTACTTTGAGACAAGACAGAATTCTAGAATAAAGACATGTTGATATTCAGAAGATACAACTAGGGAACTCAAGGACATTTCAATACTTTCTTTGGCTATGGAGGACACTAGATATTGCTTGAACATATAATACTATTGTTTTTGTCTTCGCTTGCTAACACATCCTTACAACCTCTCATTTAGTCTCTTTTTCTTCCTTCCATTTTCCTTCTTTTGCTTTCCCTTCCTTGCTCCCAGTCCATCCAAGGCTATATAGAGGCACATTTCTGGAAAAAAAACAGAGAAATTGAGAAGATGCTGAAGCTAAAAATATATCTTTCTTCCTAATCCAGATGTGGAAGATCAGGGCTATTGTGTATGTAGGAAGAGTTGCAAGAATTTGTGATTAATCAAAATATTTGCCCTGCCATTTTTGATACATAGTATCTAAGCCAAAAATAAATTTGTCCAATTGCCAAATATGGAAACTAAGAACACAGAAGTTCATAGCAGATGTTGAAGCATTTCAAAGAGCCCTTCTGAAATTGCTCTTGATCATGTGACAGGACACTGATGTGTATTTTAGTCCAACATTTTAAGTTGGGCCAAAGCCTCCTTGGAAATCTGTTGAGCCTCATCAAATAGTTAAGTCCTGATAGAAACTGAGCTACTGACTTTTATGGCCAACTTGTTTTGTGTCAGGCCAAAACTTGTGGTGAAGATATCAAAACTAACAATGGTCTGATAACTCATAATGCTAATGATGCTTACAGGGCTGGATTTAGATGAAAAGAGGCCCTAGGCTATTCCACTGATGAGGCCCTTTTACCTATAGTGAAAGTGTAATTTTAATTTTGCTAACAATTTGAATGTAGGCCCCTCTTGATCTTGAGGCCCTAGGCTGAAGCCTAGTTAGCCTATAGGAAAATCCGGCCCTGGATGCTTATCTAAAGTGCACAGGATAAAGAGCTCATGCTTCTTTCGTGTCTTACAAATTTCAGATAGTCACTATTCTCATCTTGAGAAGGAACATTTCTGAATTTCACAGGGGGTCTGAAGCAGGAATTTTAGCCTATGTACTTGCTTGTGCATTTCCACTGCCTAATCTGTATATTTTGGGGGTATTGATCAGGTCATGGCTATCCTGAATTTCAACTCAGGCAAAGGCAAAAGAAAAAATTCTATTCTGAATAATTCAATTCTAATCTTGCAAATATCTTATTTAACCAGATGCTATGAAGGTTTACTGCACACTCAACTTTTCTACAACCTGGCTTTTTAAAAAACTAACTATATTTTAATGCAAGTATGGTAAGTTGTTTCCTGCCATAAGTCACAATGTTTAGTGAAGTTTGGGGGCTTTATAGGATAAAGTTGTCCCTCTTAGGAACTAGAGAACCTTTACATGTGGAGTGCTCAGGAAGATAAGACAGTGATAATATATAGGCTGTTTTATTTATTTGCTGAAGCTATTTCAACTTTGCCTGGGCCAGATGAGAAAGCAGGAAATGTACCCTCTCCGAGCATAGTTATGGGGGTTTTTTTAGATTGAATATGATAAACTTTCACAATAAAACTTTGATAAAAATTGCAAAAAAGAAATATGAGATTCAGTAACAGCAAAATAAATTCAGTTGAGGAAAGTCATGCCATCAATCCAGAGGGAACTCATTCTGACTACTAGTGATCAGGTAAAGGTGATCGTTTGCTATTCTGGAGCAAAAGGCCTAGGACAGTGATGGCTAACCTTTTTGCCATTGTGTGCCAAAAGCAGGGGTCGCACAGGGGGTTGCGTCTGTGTGTGCCCACACACATAATCCAATGCACCCTGTCCCCCGCGCATGCGCGCATGACCCCCCATGCTTCCCCCGCTTTTGGCACGCAATGGTCTGGTGGACCCGGTAGGCCTGTTTTTCGCCCTCCCCAGGCTCCAGAGGCTTTCTTGGAGCCTGGGGAGGGCAAAAACAGCCTTATCCAACCCCCTGGAGGCCCTCCGGAGGCTGGAAATGGCCCGTTTGCTCAGCTAAAGCAACACTCATGTGCCCACCAATATGGCTCTGCGTGCCACCTGTGGCACACGTGCCATAGGTTCGCCATCATGGGCCTAAGATATTCAAATAAATATCATTGGATAAATATCTGTTTGCACTACAAAGCTATGGTCTCTCTTGCGCTCATGTTTCTATATCACCCTGTACAACAGTCCTACACAGACCTGGTCCAACAAAATCATCTCTTCAGTCTAAGAAGGAGATTAGACCAACGTCCTGGAGATTTTAGCCTATTGCTCTTAATTATAAATGAGATTATTTTATGATTCAGTAATAATATTTAAGGAAACTGTACCTGTGGAGGTGTATGGAGGATAGAAATTTGTGGGACCAAGACGATATGATAATTTCATGGCAACCGGTGGAATGTAAAAAAGCCATTACAATCTCCTCCCATTTAGTTATAATAATCCATTTTCAGAGATTTTTAGGATCCATCAATGGTCTTTGGAATTAATATTAGTTAATACTAGTTAATATTTGTCTATTTTGTAGCAAGATGAATACAGGACTCTTTGGTGTTCTGCTGTTTCTTTAAATTAAACACCCACTTTCGTAGCCTGCAAACCAGGGGTGGGTTCTACTTACCTTTACTACTGGTTCACAACAGGATTGTGCATGCGTTGCTTTGCTCGTGCGCCTTGCTTCTGCGCATGCGCAGATCACCGATGACGACATCCGGGATGGTGGGCAGGGCCTCCCGTCGATTTTACAACCGGTTCTTGCAAACCGGTCCAAACCGGAGGCAACCCACCACTGCTGCAAACAATGTTTGAATTTCATTCCAAGCCTTGAATGTTAGTTACTCCAATGAAACTGTTGTAGAAAGCACTCAACTTTAATGCTACCATTTATGCTCTGCATTATCCACTGTAATGAAGGAGATATAAACGGGCCACCTTGCATACGATACATAAATGTTTCTACCCTTGAAGTGGTTCATAACTGGCTAAACAAAACAGCGCATTTAAAACATTAAGCTAACAATACTCTATGTTCAAGATGAATTCCTAGGCAAGTACAGTTGCTGCTGCTGCTGTTTTTGATTTTATCTTCCCACCCTATATTCTTTAGAAAAGTTCTCACATGATGTCTCTGGATCAGTGCTTAATTATATGTTCCTTGTAGTTAATAGCACTTTTTCTTACTTTGTTTTCATTTTGCTTGTGGCAAATTGGTGGAATGTGTTCTTGGAACTGTTTCGGTGTACACCTAGTTTAATGGCAGGCACAGTAAACCCAGTTATGAGCAATGTGGATAAATGAGATTATAGAAACCTGCTGTGGCAACTGCTTTCAGTGATCTGCTGCTGAACTTGTGGTAGTGCATTTCCATATGCACTGGTATTTAAACAAATAAAAAGTGGTAAATGGCTGTATTCTTTGTAGGGAGCAGTAAAGCCCAGGAGTTTACTAGAGTTAAGAATTCTCTACTTTGGAAAAGGAGTGTTTTTAATCTATCATGCTGCTCTCTGCATCAGCATAGGCCTTATGCCTTTCTTCTAACTAATTTTGTCTGGTTTTCAAAGGTGATTCAGGAAAACAATGTTTTGGCTAATATAATGTAAGCCGGGATGTCCCTGAATTAAAGTCTTCCTGTCTTTAAGTTGGGAATGTCCTTGGAAATCCTGGGCTAACCCACCATTCTCTCAGCCTCACCATCTAGGTCCAATATAACTCTCTTTCAAACCCCAGAACAATAATAAAATTCTAATATAGTTTTGGGAGCAGTGAAAATGAACAAACTTTCGCTTAATCCAGGTAAGGCTGGGCTATTTAGAGACTGCCAGATAACTAGAATTTTGTAGATACTATGAATATATCATACTATCTACAAAATTGTATCTTGATGTATCTGACAAGTATAATCCTTGACAGATACATCTTCTGCAAGGTAGTCTAGGAAGTCTGGATCTAGTTTGTATGGTTGGTGGACACAACTTTGAAAGCTTTGATGCCTATCAACAGATAAGGCTGCCTAGATCATAAACAGGATTTTTGGAGAAAATCAGGTACAGATAGCCTTCGACTTATGACCACAACTGAACTCCAAATTTCTGTAACTAAGCAAGACAGATGTTAAATGACTGTTGCCCTATTTTATGTCTTTTCTTGCCACAGTTGTTAAGTGAATCACTGCAGTTGCTAAGTTACCCCATTTCCCCCAAAAGAAGACATCCCCTGATAATAAACCCAATCGGGCTTTTGAGCGCAGGGCAATAAGGCCAAGCGCTTATTTCAGGGTTCAAAAAAAATATAAGACAGAATCTTATTTTTGGGGAAACACGGTAATAATATGGTTGTAAAGTGAATCTGACTTCCCCACTGACTTCGCTGGTCACAAAAGGTGATCACATGATTCCAAGACACTGCAACTGTCATAAATATGAACCAGTAGCCAAGCGTCTGAATTTTGATCACATGACCATGGGGATGGTGGCATGGTCGTAAGTGTGAAAAATGGTCACTAAACAGTTACTAAATGAACTGTTGTAAGTAGAAGACTACCTGTATACCATTTTCCAGGGGAGGGAAAGGGGGGGTGCAGAGAACTTCCAGCTTTGTTTACTCGCCCTAGGACTACTGCCTTCTGTAGTAGGTTAGGGGCTGAAGCTTATGTTGCTTAGCAACTGCATTATGTTTTCCCTGATTCTGAGTAACATAACTAGCCAGATAGGCATTGTGGTGTTTATAATACTGAAACAGTTGGCCATAAGAGAAGAACCACTTGGGACAACAGAGCCTTAAATAAGGAAACGGCCAAATGGTGCTAATTCCCCAATCTTTTTGTCTGCAGATAATCACTGAGAGAAAAGAGACAAAATGTCAGAGAATAAGAAATCGAATGGATGGTTCTGGGGCAAAAAAGATGCAAAGACTCTGAAAACCAGCATTTGGGTAAGTTGTAAAACAAGATATCAGTTGAAACCATCCAATGATTGTACAGCCACATTCATATATTTCTACCTCCCCGGTGTTGTGGAATTCCAGTTTGTGTTGTCATCACAATCTTGGCCTGGAAATGGCTGCTGTCCATGTTTTCTTCAACTCTGGGTGTGTGTGTATTTTAATACATTTTAGTATTTGACAGGAAGGTAAAAATTCTATATCAGCAAATGAAAACAACATTTAACAATTCCAGATTGTATCTATAATTTGATTTCAATATAGATTTTGGTTTTCTTTAGAAAGTACAGAAAGACTTAATTTTTGGCCATTTTGATTTTCCTTTTTTTTTTTGCTCCATAATAGTGGGAAAGAGGTAGAGAGAAGGGAGTAAAATTCCAGGTGGAATTTGTCCAGGGGCCTTGTGAGTCATGTTACTAAGCTGTCTCGTGATTATCATATCAGTAAAACTCTGTGTGTCTCCATCTGATAATTTTCTTTTTGGCAGGGAAAGAAGTTCTTCCTGGTAGATTGGATGTTGCTTCTAACTACTACAATGATCACTACTAGTAGTAGTACTTGTAGTAGTCTAGGAAGTCTGGATTCAGTTTGTATGATTTGAAAGCTTTGATACTAGTAGTAGTAGTAGTAGTAGGTCAGAGAACTGTATAATCTTGTGACAAAATATACAGTTGTGGCTGTACCAGAGAGAACAGACATAATCTGAAAGAAGAGGAGGGAAAGCAATGTGCCATGTGCCAAATATAGGAAGAGAGTGGGATGCAAGAAGTCCTTGACTTATAACAGTTCATTTAGTGACCGTTCAAAGATACAACGGCACTGAAAAAAAGACACTTATGATCATTTTTCACACTTAACAACCATTGCAGCATCACCATGGTCATGTGATCAAATTTCAGATACTTGGCAACTGAGTCGTGATGGATGCAGAGTCCCGGGGCCAAGTGGTCACCTTTTGTGACCTTCTGACAAGCAAAGTCAAGGGGGAAGCCAGATTCACTTAACAACAGTGTCACTACCTTAACAACTGCGGTGATTTACTTAACAACTGTGGCAAGAAAGGTCATAAAAAGTGGGAAAAAAATCACGTAACAAATGTCTCACTTAATAACAGAAATTTTGGGCTTGATTGTGGTCGTAAGCCGAGGACTACCTGTCGTCTGTAGACTGAAATAAAATCAGCCCTTGATGGGAAGAGAAGCAGAAGTATAATTTTTTTGAGCCTGAGAGGCAAGCTTAGATGTAATAGTGGAGTCACACTTCTTCCTGTTTGGGCTTAATTAGTATGTAAAGATTGAGGGGACTGGCACTAGTTTCTTACAAGAAGCAGAACCATGTTCATTGCCATAAGAACTTCTGGCTTGGGGTGATAAAGACTGCCCCCTACTTCTAGTAGCCTAGGAAAAATATGTAATTATTGCTACCCCATTATCTTAAAAGTCCGGAATGATAAGAGGAAGCTTGGATTTTGCATTTGTAAACTTAGCCATTGCGACTTGCAAACCTTGATTATATTTTTATTTATTTATTCAATATAGATATTATTTAGAGCTTAGTTAGTATCACTGGATTCACCCAAGAATGACTTATTTGACAAAACAAGTAGCCTGATGTGTGTACTCAGCTTCTGTAATGTTTCTGAAGTATGTTCATAATCATGGTTTATTGGCTTTCTGTAGCAGGAGACAAACCACAGCCTTTAACTGTAAGGCTGTAAAGCAAATGTACAAAAATGTTCCTACCAATCTCTCATAAACCCCTCTCCTCCCAGTGACTCTCCTAAAACTATCTGCCTCTCATCTACTACTAGTGGCAGTTCGTAGTGTAATACCTTCTATAAATCCTTTACTGATTAAATTAAAATAAGATGCTTTTGGAGAACTGTAGATATGGGAAAAGGCCGATCGACTGCAAGCCAGCTAATGTACATTGCTGCTACATCGACTGCAAGCCAGGGATGTACATTGGTCAAACAAGCATCCCAGTAAGGAGGGGGGGAAAACAGCTCAATTCTAAAATGTTTCCACCTCCAAGAAAGACCACTTGGATGGGCATCCATCAGGTCACTTCCTGTAAGACTTGCACAGAACATGTATTCTGTACTGCAGTTCCTATTTGGTCTCTACAATGTGACATCACAGGTAGTCTTCGACTTACAACCACAATTGAACCCAAAATTTATGTTTCAAGTGAGACATTTGTAAGTGAATTTTGCCCCATTTTATGACTTTGCTTGCCACAGTTGTTAAGTAAATTACTGCAGTTGTAAAGTGTTGTGGCCCACCAGCGGCCTGCATGGATTATTGCTGATCCTGACGACGAGGAGGCTGGTGTGGTGCAAGCAGCCTGTGCAGCCGGCGCTTGAGGTGGACAGCGAGGAGGCTGAAGAAGATGTGGTGCCAGAGGCAGGGATTCAGTCAGGGCCTTCAAAACCTCCAGAGGCTCCTTTAAGTGAAGAGGATGAAGAGGAGGAGCCTCTTCTCAATGCACGGGCACACAGAGCTGCCAAAAGGCAGGAGTGGTTCTTCAGGAGGAGGGCTCCTTGAGAGTAAGGCTTGGGGCTAATTGGCTGCGCCCTTAGCCTATTTAAGAAAGAATGCAGCTTGTAACAAGCTGCAGGAAACAACTTTAGTTCGCTAATCATCACGTTGGGATTTCTCTGCAACCTTGCTTCTGGGCTTTCTGCCAACTCCAGTAAGACTCTGACTATCTTATCTGTGGAATTCTGGCAGGCTGTTAAGAACGCTTATTAACAGCTGGCATTTGCTAAAACTGTGTTATTTGAGTAAACTAAGTTTTGTTCAGAGTTTGTGTGTGCTGTGTTCTTTGGGATCCGTAGCTGGGGCAGAACATAAAGTTAGTGACACTGTTGTTAAGTGAATCTGGCTTCCGCCTTGACTTTGCTTGTCAGAAGGTCGCAAAAGGTGATCACATGACCCCGAGACTCTGCATCTGTCATAATTATGAGTCACTTGCCAAGTATCTGAAATTT